GGGAAGTCGATCGTCTACATGGGCTACCACAATCAATTGTTTCAGATAGAGACACCCATTTCCTCAGTAATTTTTGGTGATGTTTGTGGCATTTGTCTAACACCAAGTCAGATTTTCACAGTGCTTATCATCCCCAAACATATGGATAGATGGATGTTGCCAATCAGTCGTTGAGTAGTTTACTCTGTAACCTCGTAGTAGATTATCTCAAGTCATGGGACCAAAACTTGTAACAAGCTAAGTTTGCTTACAACCGCTTCACCCACCAGAACACTGGGTTCAGTCTTTTCTACATCACTTATGGGTTTGACTTAGCCCCTGTTTCGGAGTTGAAGCTTGTTCATGGAAAAGCAGAGGATCTAGTTACACAACTTTAGGAAATTCACAGGCACAGACCCAACAACATTTACATGAACCTACAACTAAAGTACAAGTGAGATGCTGATAAGAAACACTAAGCAGTGGAGTTTGAGATGGGAGATTTTGTTCGGGCTATCTTAACTAAAGACTACTTTCCTATGGAAGAGTACAACAAGTTAGCAGCTCGAAAAATTGGGCCCTGGAAATTACAAAAAAGATCAACTCAACTGCTTATAGATTAAAGCTTCCAAGCCATATTTGCACATTTGATGTATTCAATGTCAGGCATCTTGTCCGTTACCATGCTGATCATTCTGATGATGATGATACAAATTCTCTTCAACATAGGGAGGATGATGCAAAGTGTTTGGCTATAAAGTTTTTGGAACTTGTATATGGACAAACAAGGTGTCACGGGTTGCCTTGCAAGGCTAACTCCGTGACGTTTCGCTCGCGGTGGTGTGGCCATTTGAGTGCTCAAGAGTGGCCGTTGGAAGTGCCCCAACGTGGCCTAACATTGGCCCCAAGTAGCCCAAGGCATGTAGGCCACTAATAGCCAGCAGATAGCAAAGTTGCCGCCCATGCCAACAGCCAACCAGCTCTGCCAGCAGCAGCAAACAGCGCTGCCAGCAGCAGCAAAATACAGCAGCAGCAGCCAGCAGTGGCAGCCAACAGTGCAGAACTTTGGCGCGTCGTTTTGGCATTCAAACGAAGGAGTTTTGGGCTGAAATTTTTACTGGAGATAGGTCTTAGGGGAAGTGTTTTCCCGACCAAGTTTTGTGATTTTTCTCAATTTGTAGAATTTATGAAAAATCATTATGACTCCTCGGACATGTATGATGTTTCCTCCTGCCAGATGAAAAAGGGCTCAATAAGCTACTATAAGGGGGTATGGTGTGCTACCTACCTACCTCCCCGCCCAAACTAGGCTTGAAGTGAGCAACCTTGGGGCAACTCAAGGACGGGCTTTAGGCATCCAGAGGGGTGTCTAGAGTCTCCACGTGGATTTGGGAGCCCCGTGGATGGTGCAATGATGTAGGCACTGCGCGACCCTCCCGGGTGAGAGGTCCACTACGTTGTTTCCATTATGCCACGCAATATGGTATCTTTGGGACTTGTTTTGGACCGAATGGGCTATCGAGGCACCACTAAAGGCCTCGTGTGCCAACTCTAGTGCTTGGTTTGGGTTCAACCTTGCACGAGGGGATCTCGTGGCTTAAGCTAAGCGGTTGGAAGGCGACACTGCATATGTGGGCTATCGAATGAAGGCATCAAGCTATACAATGACTACGTCCATTGAGGGACTACATTATGCTACGAGCAAGCTACGGATTGAGACGTCGCCTTACTCATGCTACACGTTGGTGCAACACTAAGGTGGGCAATGGCCTTAAGCGGAATCTAGCACACGTGTTGGCACGAGGACTACGCCGTGGGCAAGAGATTGACCCTCGGTGGCTTGTGGGCTTCGCATGACCGAGTGGCTACCCAATATGCATCTATTGAGGCATGCTTGACCCTGCGACACTTCGAGATGCTATTAAAGACCCAACATGCAACGTTGGCTTGTCGGCTAAGTTGAGGACCTTCGCTAGCACATTGTTGTGTGGCTAGGCACCTTGATGACATAAACCTAAGTTGGGCGAGCACCTTGCTTGAGATATGCTTGGCGCTATGAAGCGACTTATGCCGTGCTTGGTGCACTGGAGGCGTCAGGCCTACTTGTGACATCCGGGTGAAGACGGAGCTTCCTTGTGAAGTTGTTTTGCTTGACAAAGCATTGAGCATAACTGTGGAAACGGGTGAGATCATCAACACTCGATTTGTCAACGAGCTATGGCGGGCTTAAACTTGGTGGAGTTTGAGCGCCACACCGGCAAAAATTGATCCGCTGCGCCTTTAAAGGAGTCGGCCCGTGACACAAGGCCAAGGCAAAGTCAAAAAGGCACTAGTAGACACAAGATGGAACGTGCTTGGAATGCCGTGGAATTCACTCAAGAAATGGAAAATTGTGTGTCAATCAATACCCTGCCATGGCCTATGATGGATTTCGGTCAAATTTCATTGTTTAGGCCTTAATTTTGCGATTTTTCCATTTTTAGAAATAATTGAGTCTATAACTCGGTCTAGAAGAATCCAATTAGGGCCAAGTTTTTTTCCAGAATATGTATTTTTAATTATAGTTTCCATATTTGAGCTTAACTCAGTTCTTTCCTTTTTAGTAGTTTTCGTAATTTGTTTGATTTAGGCTTGATTAGCCAGTACTGGCTTTTTCCGTTTATTTCCTAGTTTAATTAGGATTTTGTTCTATTATAAATAAGAGTTGTAAGCCTTAGGGAAAAACACTTTCGATATATTACAAACACTTCGTTGAGAAAATTTTGTTCCCCCCCCCATATTTTTAGTAATCTTCGGATTCTACAAATTGTAGAAAAGTTGCAACTTTCTTTGCTGCGCACGATTCTTCTGTTGTACACGTTCTACGTTGCGGCAGAGAGAGAGAGAGAGAGAGAGAGAGAGAGAGAGAGAGAAGTATTTTACAGGTGCTGTTATGCGGCTAATGTTACAGGGGTGGGGGTTGAAAATGCTAATAGAGAATGGTGCAGAAAATGAAGAGGGGTGGAGAATGGGATGGTTCATCTTACTTGGATTCTGTACAACAAAATCTACAATTAGTTATTTATTGAACTCTTAGCATAGTGAATTTTGATGGTATATAATCAAAGAAAGGTTACTAAATGATTGACGAATATCATGAGCGACTACAAGGTAAAAGTTTTCCAACACATGAAATAGAGTTCTATAACAACAAAGAAATTATATTAGAGGGCAAAATTATCATAATTTTTTCAATCAAAGCACTATGGACATAATAGAATCTTGCTTCTTAATACACATATTTATGTGAAATTATTGAATAATCAGAATCTAATGTGTATAATAAATACAAAGAACTGATAATTAAAAGAAATAAAACAAACTTACTCAACCAAAAAATAATTAATCTTTACCTGTAATAAAAATTGACCAAATTGGCTTATGACTTTCTAAGAGTGTAAATTAATAATCAACTAAGTTAACTCAGTTACTTTAATAGTGCATGACTTCATTGCAAGTAAAACTAAGGTTCAAAATAAATAAATGAATAAAATTCAGCCCTAAACAATAATAAATAAATACTATGTTACATTTTGCATCCCTTCGCTTTTATTAAATCTCATTTTGATCTTTTATTTTTTTAATTATAACACTCAACATCTTAATTTTGATCAAATTATGATGCGATTCAGATTGCAAAAAATTTTCTTATCTAAAATAAAATTCTTCCATTAGAGTCCAAAATGTAATACAAGATGCTACCCAAGCTTTGATGAATAGGTTTACTTCATGAGGACAGCCATTATGCTAAATAGAGAAAGTATCATCAATTGGACTGATTAAATATCGCACTAAATAAATCAACTCGACTTTCACAATGACAAAGGGGGAAAAAAGTTGAATTTTTACATGAAAAAATAAAAAAAAAACTACTATTTTTCGGCTTTAATTTTGGGAGTCTATTTATGAAGATTAAAATAATATGCACTACTATGTGCAAATAGTGTGTAATTAAAATTGTTATAGTGATAGTGTGCAAGCATTGTGTAAATAAAGGGATAAATTACCAGCAGATCTTAATAATTAGACTTAATTCCAAATCTCTCTCAAAATACATGAACAAAACACATCATTAATGTTTGGCTATCCTGTTTTTGCCTGAGTTTTTTGCTGTGTGTGTGGTGGTATTGGTGTTTTAGGTGTAGTATTTTCACAGGTGATTGTTTTCATTGCCAACTTTTCGTGTCTTTCTTTTAGAGTTTATTTTGGTAGGGATTGAGTTTTGCTTTAGTGTGCCAATTTTGTTGTCGTATGTCTTTAGACAATGTTGTTCTTTCCTTTTCCTTTATTACCTTCTTATATTTTTATATTTCGAGTTAATAATAATTTTTTTTTTTACCTATTAAAAACAAAAACAAGTACATGTTCACTTAACTGTTTTAAATCCATTAATCTAACTCTGAAATTCATTCCTGAAATTACTGATGCCTCCATCATGGAAAGCTTTTGTAATAGTATAGATAGATTAAGAGTGTAAAAATGGCCTGCAACCCATGTGCGGCCCGGGATGAGCCCGATCCAATTAGGCCCGGGCTTGAGGCCAACCCAAGACCCTAGGCCTGGGCTTGAGCCGTCATTTTGAAGCCCAGCTTGCTCAAGGCCCACTTAAAATCCAACCCGAGGCCCAGTGCCATTTTTAGTGGAAAATAATAAAATTTTGATAGAAAAAAACAAAAAATTGTTCAGGCCCAGGCCCACCGGCCTGCCCAAGGTCGAAATAACCCTTGGGCTTGCGCCTAATTTTTTGGCACATGGGTTAGCTTGGCCCGACCCAAATTTTGATTGGAGCCCGCGAGACCCGATATGGGTCGGCCCGAACCCAAGCCCGGATGAGCCGGACCGAGCCAAATTTACACCCCTAAGATAGATTACGTAACTAAATAATGGTTTTAAATAGAAAGAAGATATTATAGAATAAATGACATAAACTTAACATAAATAGATATAGAAAATATTAGTATATATGATATGGATTCAGTTACCTTATTTCAGAGAAGATATACTGACAATGTTCTAACCAGTGTCTGACTTCCTGCCAAAAAGAAATAATGGTTTCAGGTAGAAAGAAAGTAGAAAAATTATTGTGAGAAGAATTTCAAAGGCTACAACGTCTATTTATTTACAGCAGTGCTACAGAGCACTAGTAGAGCTTCTCTAAAAGCAGCTATACTGAGGTGGCATCCCATTTTTAAAAAAAAAAAAATTAAAAAATAAGTAAAAGACAAAACAAAAAGAAGAAAAAGACAAATTAATGCTCATTTAGAGCTCCTCTTTTAGAGGTCTAAATCATTTTTGATTTATTTACTGCATGCATGCAGGGGCAATAAAGAGAGTCTGGCACTACATTACATTTTTCATTTGGGATGGATTTTTTTTTTAATTTAAATTTAAATTTTACAAAATTGTTTGAGCACATAGAGGTTATCACAGATTTCATTTTGATTATTCGAATCGTTTATTTTGAAATGTCCTTGACGAATATTATTCATACAAAAATTAGGTCGACTTGACAGCTGTGACATTTTTTTTTATTTTTTTAGAGTTAAACGCGATAAAATGAAAATGTTATGATTATCAGACCGACCTAATTTATTTTCAAAAATGATATACACAAATGACCTTGTAAAATGAATTGATTAGATTATCGAAGTGAGATTTATGATGGGCTCCCGAACTTGACGAATATTATTCATACAAAAATTAGGACGACTCGACAGCTGTGACATTTTTTTTTATTTTTTTAGAGATAAACGCGATAAAATGAAAATGTTATGATTATCAGACCGACTTAATTTATTTTCAAAAATGATATACACAAATGACCTTGTAAAATGAATTGATCAGATTATCGAAGTGAGATTTATGATGGGCTCCCGAACTTGAACAATTTTCTCAAGTTCATATTTGAAGTTCAAGAAAAATCCAACCCTTTTTTGTGAAGCACACAAAATGTTCTTTTCCTGAAGAGAGTTTATATGAAATAAATAGACAATTTAACGTTCCATTTCTTTTGATGGAAAATGTATGAAAAGCTTTTTTGCCATTAAATATTTTCTTATGATTGGTTGAGAACTTGAAAGTAATGTGCCAATAGTGATGGTGCTGGTGACATGGTCAGTTCATATTAAAATTTAAATTTCACATACAAATTGGCAGATTCATATCATGTGTCGAATCAAACTAGATAATTTACCAATTCTGAAGCCAAAGGAACCAGACCGGTTCATCTACAATATCGCGGAAAAAAAAATAAAAATAAAAATATAAGTACATAAATATATTCAATCTTTAAACTTAATGGGGGTTAAACATCAAATTCGTAGATAGCCAGATTTATATTTATATTTATTTGAGTAGTGCTATTTTAACTGAAATATTAAATATATTTTTAAATTTAAAAATTAGACTAATTGTTCAAACCAAAAAAGGGGAAACATGAGACTACTTGACTGGTTGGTTACATAGTGGGATAAGTATTCAAAATGAAAACTTCCACTTCTTTTCTACCTTTTTGGGATTTTAATTCCACTTTGAGCTTAAAAGAGTTATAAAAACTTGAAAAAAAGGTATATCATTGAGTTTTGAAGAGTTGTTCATGATTTTAAAACTTCTACTATCGCTGCACTTAATTCTTAATACATCTGATAGTCTCAATATCAATACACCACGATTGATATCAGTATGTGTTCTAATATCGGGATTTAGAACCATGATTGGCGGTGACAGTGGTGGCTGCTATAGTAGTTATGTGGTGGTTGGGGCGTGGGGGTGGTGAAAAATATATTTGTTCAAATAAATTTGTTTTGATTAAGCATGCAAAATATCATACCAAACGTTTAAAAAAAGAAAAAAGCAAAAAGCTAAATATGTTTTCCATAATATGTTTTGTTGAAACAAATGAGGGTAAAAAAGTGAATAAGTACATACAGGCATGCGCGCGCAGTGAGAGAGAGAAGAAAAAGAGTTTGCTAGCTAGAAATATAGAAATTATGTAGTTGAGAAGTGAAAAGAATTGTATCAGAGAGTACTTAGTTTCAAATGGAATTTGATCTAGTTTTTATAGTAAAAAACAGTCTTGTTATTGTAGATTATTTAGAGGAGGACTTCACTAGATGTCAAAGTATATTTAATATTAGACACTTAATGAGTTAAAAATGAACCATTCCACAAGAAAACCCCTTGACAGATGAGATAGAAGTATATATTGAAAATGATTAAATGAGAGATCTTGCTGATGAGAGTGAAGATTTTAGGGGCCAATGTTGAATAAGGGTTAAGATTTTAGTGGACCAATGTTGAAGGAGACAGGGCCGACCTGACTTTGTGGTGTCAAGGCGAATTTAAAAAATTGGAGTCCATATTAAAAAAAGAAAATTTGGTTAGTTCTAATCTTTTTTTTTTTTTTTTGGTATTGATACAAAATTTACTTATATTTATAAATATTAAAATTACTAATTTGTTTTATGTGTGCCATGCACAAAAATTATTTAAAATATTAGGTGATAAATTCAATTTTAAAATATTATATTACTGTCTAATTCGATTATAATTTTTTTTTTTTCACAATAATCATAATATTATTTTTTAAAGCATTTTATTTAATTTTTATAATTGACATAATCATAGTTATTGAGATAGACATAAATCATAATTATTTAAATAGATTTTGGACATTTTCGATAACTAACATTATTAATTTATTTAATAATTTATGACCTAACTGAATGAATGCAAAATTTGATCAACTTCAACTTAAAAAAAAAAAAAATTATATCATAATATTTAAGCATTATTACACGAAAAGTGCTTAAGGTGAGTTGATTCAAAAGTATGATTTATGATTATATAAGTAAGAACGTAAGAGTTAATCATATTAATGTATAAAAAAATTACAAATTCAAATTATAAATAGTGTTCTCAAAGGCAATTAGGTACAAAACCTTTATAACCTTAATAATTTCAATTCTCAAAGGGATTTTGATTAACTATGTGACACATCATGATAATAGTAAATTTTTTTATTCCGGCCAAATTATCTTTGCATATCTTTTCTAGCAGAGCGCATGAATGTGCATTATCAGTAATACTATAATTCAAAATTTTTATTTAATTTTATTCAAGAAACATCAATAGGTGCCTTAAATATATACAATAATTTTGATGAATCATTATTCTTTAAAAGAATACTCCACACTATTTATTATTTGTCATTTGTCAATTTATCATCTAAAGGTTTGTACCATATGCATTTTATAATTATAGAAGAAAATAGTATAACTTCATAATTTCTGAGTCATAACTAAGAAAAAAAAAAAAAGTCATAACCTAACACAAAAAAGTCATAACTAATATATTAAAATAATGTTATAATTAAATAGGAAAATTAGTCATAACTAAAGAAGAAAATGACGCAACTAATGGTGAATATGATATGTAGTTGTGTATAATAGAATTCTCAAAAAAGTATTAAGTTTCATTATTTTAATAAATCAATATCATATTGGATGTTATTATGTAAATCACTTCTAGAATATGATGTTTGTTATAGAATCACAGTGCGGTTAATTTTAATTATTTATTTTAATAATCTTAGTCTTATCGTTCTATAAAAGTGTTACTTGAATAGTTATATATAATAAATTTAGTTAAATTGTTTATTTATTTTGATAATTTTAGTTCTATTGTGCTATAAAAGTATAATTATCATATAATGATTTTATATGATATATACTAAATTATAAGATATTAAAATAAACATTCATCTTGTTATTAAAAACAATAGTTAAAATAGAAAGAGAATTAGTAATATAAAACTAAAAGTGATTCTAATTATTTATTTTTATATTTATTTAGAAAATAAAAATATGTAAAAATAAAACTACACAAAATTTATTTAAGAAATTAAATATAAATATCTTGTGATATGATTAATAAAAAATATATATATAAATTAATTATGAAAAGTATTGATTTTTCCTTTAATATTCTTTTTGAATTATTCATACATATTGTTATGAGAGCCAGAAAAATATAGGTGCTAACTTATTGAGCCTAACCCAAACAAAGTCTACAATGGGTCTAACCCAAACAAATATCACACCTCCCATCTACATAAAAGAGGGGGCATCCCAAGTGGAAGGGATGTTTTGATCTCTCTCTACAGAACACACACCCCTTCAAATATATATACAATTTACTTCCTTGATTCAAGGACTAACTTCATCATCGAAGAGTCCCCGGCCGGCAACCCCGGTTGGGTGGCACCGACTATGTTCATCTTTGCAGATCTATAGGGGTGAAACTCTTCTCTTCGTTGGATTTCTACAACATCCATGTGAGAGGATATTTCATGGTCTCACAATTGGCGCCGTCTGTGGGAAACGTCTGAAAGAGTTCAACGAAGGAAATAACAAACATGTGACTGTAAATAAAAATCCAACATCACTTTGATGGAGATCTTTGTTCTCTCTGAGTAAATTTATCTTAAACTTATTTGCAAAATTGGTTCTTTGTTCCTGGTACATGTTGATGAAAAAAGTGTTAAATCAGAATAGAATTCATGGGTCTACTTTTACATCTCTGTTTTCTCTCTCTCAAAATGGGTTTCACATTTTTCTTGGTGCACACATCTTTTCGGCAATTCAATTAAGTTGCTCGGCTAAATCCATATGTGGATCTGTCCGTTTATTTATTTATTCTTTGTTTCTCAAAACTTAGCTTCAAGTTGATGCTTGACATGTATGCACGTGTACCTATGCTAGAACTTTCTGTAGAATCCAAGGCTGGGTCTTCAATTTTTTCTCTCACTAGAATTGGACCACAATAACTTGGAGTGGATTAAGCTTTCTTATTCGGCACTTTATTTGGCTTGTCTATCAACCAACTCAGCAACAGTAACTCTTTATTGGGTTGTTCGTCAACTCTCTTGTTATTCTAAATCTCATTTCTGAAAGCTGTCTCTATATTTGCAAAGATACATTTATATATATATATATATATATATATACATGGATACAAATATTTGCACATAAGCAAATGCATAAATATAGTTGTCCATTGAGCTGCGTTGACTTATATGAAATAGAATATTTAAAACTTGTATACATATCCAAAAGCCATGCTTACATTATACCCATACACATTATAGCATCTTAAGTACAGCCAATAAAACAAACAAGACTCACATACAAAACAACCAAAACTATAACACGACACTTCTGGAACCTCCACGTGAGGCACGATGGTTGGCTGACAAAAGAACACAGATCGAGACAAGAGTCTTTAGGACTGATCTCCAAAACGCTCACCTATACTTATATATACACACAGTAAGCTAAAGCCCAGTGAATAACATTAACGTAAAGGGGTTAGTGAACGAATTCCTAACATTTCATAATCATAAAAACAGATCATAACATAATCATTCTCATATCTGAACATAATAATGGTACATCCCATAGAACACATCACATATCGTCTTCCAA